GCGCAAAGCAAAGAAACGCATCATCTATGAATATAATACGAACGTTGTGAAATTAGCTCGTAAAGGCAGCCGCACACCGATCGAAATCATTTGCGACGAGGCAGCCGGCGACAAAGGAGTCCAATCGAAATAAGACGCGCAACTCGACGGCAATTATTTACAATCCCGATCGAGGAACGACGTGTACGAACGCCCGATATCCTTTCCCGGCAGATTGCCCGAAAATACGAACGCGAGCATTATTTATAAATTCACGCATCTGCGGCGAATTTGTCATCGCAGCGTGAGAGCATTAAATTCGACCGACTGTTTTGTGTGCATCTCGGTATAATTAATTTTCCGGCGACGCGCGTTTTGCCCACAATTCTGCATCTAACGTACACTCGTAAGGGAGGGGGGGGGGGGAGTACTTTGATTTATTGCTTTCGGCAAACACTCAACGCAATAAAGGAGTCAAAATAGAGGGACGCATTTTCATTTACTTGCCAATTTTTTTACTCGATATTCTTCCGTTACTCTCGTCGTTGAGATTCGAAATGAGAATTTCCCCAATACAAGGGTTTTTGATAGTTCTAGCCACCAGCAATCTTAATAAAACCAACGTTTTTATTGAACCCGTGAAAGAGTTTATTCATATCACCAACATGTCTTTTTTTTCAATGCTTTTTATGAGACTGTAAAAAGAAATTTTCATTTCAAGTTTCAATGGAGCCCGAGAGATATTCAGTTATTCAGAAATGGAAAAGCTAGCGTGGAATAGAGTCCATTCATACGTTACTTTTTATACGCAGGTACGATGACAGCGATCGCACGGAAGTCCCTCGCGTTGAATAGATTAATAGGAATTGTGGCGAAACGACGAAAATCTCCTTATCGCTCGAAATAACAGCTGCTGAAATCTGTGAAAACTGCGACATCTTGCAGGGGACAAAAAAGCACAGAGCTCTGTAATTAAATGTAGAACTCAATCGCAATGGAAAAAGAAAGAGCCTTATTACAGACAAGAAGCCATTAAAGTGTGACGACGAAACGAATTTAACAGAACCAGCAGTGAAAGCGAAGTACACTGGGAATTAAATCGTTCCGTTGTCGTCGTAAGGAAAAAATGAAGCGATATTAAATTACGAAAGAGATAGAGAGTCGATCGGCTGAACGCGCACGCGAAAGAGACAGCTACATCCGAAGTCATATAAAACTTGGTCGGCGGCGAGACGCGACGTGAAGATGAGAAAGAGGAAAACGAGATTAGTCGGCGACTCTCGCGCTGGCAAAAGTGTATTTCCAACAAGGGCGGCAACTATATTTTCCTTTCGTCTTTGTTTTCTCTTCTTTTCCCTTGGGACCAAGTTCTTTTTTTTTTCCTCCCCCACTTCCGACAATTGTAATTGGATTTTGTCGATCGATGTATTATAAGGCCGAGTGAGGCTGGAACTGTGCGCGCGCGTGTATGATCGATGGCCCGAAGAAAAAACACCTACTAATCAAATAATAGTCAAACTGGCTCTTGCCGACTTTCTCCGCGATCCATTATCCGTCTTGCAACAGTTACGTCTTACGTAAAAATTTTTCCGTTGGCGAGAGAAGCGAAACTCGCGAGAAGTTGGCGCCTCCTTTTTTCTAAATAACGAAGACAACTCGCTCGGGGCGTCGAGAAAGAAATGTAATTGCAGGAGGGGAATAAAGAGCAGAGCCGTCTTCGCGATGAAAAGAGCGCGACTGCAAACAGACGCAAGGAGTGGGGAAGAGGAAATGTAAAGATCGACGAGGACGATTAATTGAGTAATTGAGCGTGAATTATTCATAAAAGAGGAATCAAGACGTTCGGCCAGGTTTAAGAATATTTAATTAGCGCTTTAATCGCTTAAACAGGAGTTATTTCGGGTTTTCTCGCTCCTCGCAACGCGTCGGATTTATTTACAGTCATTAAAATGCAGTGGGCGAAATTGAACGCAAGCCAGTCGAGCAATTAGCCTTGATAAATATTACGGTTGATCGATTGTATTGCCGCTTGTCTTTGGGTCTGTGTTGCGCGTGGCGAACGTGAGAAGAGCAAAAAATCGAAAGCGCTCTATGTCTCTTTGCTAACTCGGCTAGCCCTGACCCGTGAACTTGCTCTACCTTCTCGAATCTTTTTTTCTTTTTTTTTTTGTCTTTCCCGTTTATGAACCCAAGGTATATCAGATACGAAGATATATCTACGTTTTTATCCCTTCCTGGCGTTTGATAATTTTTAATTGTAGGCCGGCGTCGGGATAAAAGCAAACAATTGCCATAAGTCGCAATAAAGAGGCTCGGTGTTCGCGCAAAAATAAGCGTGCGCTCATTAATGTCGAAAATAATTATTAATCGATATACACGTAGCGCTATCATAATACGTCTATCAAAGTCACTCGCTCATCAAAAATACATTTAGACAAGGATCGCGAGAAGAAAAGAACGCAACGTATACGAGAAATTGCGAGTAATCCATTTCAATTCCATTGAATACTTTATAGGCGAGCGAAAGTGTATATACTTGTCAAGCGACTGAAATTAGCCTGCTACCTTTTCCATCCGCATGAATTATTGATCGAGTGCCGTAAATCAATTTATCGATGTATCTAAATCAGCCCTAAAAAAGTGTCATTCCATCTGAGGACGAAAAAAAAAGAAGACGAGTAATCGTATTCGATATTGTTAGCAGTGTCGTAAAACATGTCATTGAATCGTAAATTTCCCTTTTTCGTTTTTTACCAAACACGACGACAATTTCAGTGCCATAAAGTCGAGTTGAACAGCTTGAGAGCTCGACGAGTAATTACAGTTAGAATTTATCAAGCCGGTTGTAAACTCACGCGCCAAGCAGACCCTAAAAACCATCATAAAGACCACTTGCGTCTCTCACTGGCTTTACGGTCTTCCACTGCAGAACTTTTAGTTTTGCCCCCTTTTTTTACCTGCGCTCGGATGCATGCGAATTTATGCTAATGAAAGATGGAACTTTTAATTAAAAAAAATTTAGCCGTCTTCGTTTATAACTGCGAAATGTTTCTTGGGGAAGAGAAAAAGGAAGCTGCTACTGTGCAAAACTTTATTTTCTACTTTCCCGGGGGGGAAAAAATATTCTTTTTATTTCTGAAGAAGAAACTTACAATTTAATTTATAATCGCGTTGCACCGTTGCAAAGTTTATTAAGATATCAAAGGAATCAAATCACGAATCATCTTTAATATTTGGAGCTCAAACTTTCGCTCCACGGACTTACTTTGCGTGTCACTGATCGCAGCTCCGTTCATCCGTCAGCTTCAGTTCAAAAAAATAAAGTATGCAATTCAAATCGAAAAAAGATTCGTAACTCGCGATCTTGCGACGAAAAAAGAAGAAAAAGAAGTGCGTTGAAAGTTGAAAAAATTCCCCCCCGCCGGGGGTGGAAAAAATAGCTCGCCAAGGCCAAAGAACGAAACTTCGGATATTAAACTCTCTCGCTCGTACACGAGTGAGCGTCCAAGGATAAACCTAATTTTTTGTGTTACATTACACCGAGCATTTCGAATTGGTGTATTTCGCCCTTACTCATTCGTCAAGCCGAGCATCTTATCACGAGCATTCGATCCACACACACACACACACGTACACACATACGCGCACAGTGAAAAAGAGATTGAAGTCGAATGATAATGAAAATGTAATACGTAGACCTTAGTGTAACTCGGTAACCCACTCTATATAATCGATCAATTTGACCAATGGTATATTTTTGATCATTATTTATGTGGAATTTCACGCGCTTATGGATTTTGTCTGAACTGCTGAGAGATTCTCACTGTAAACGACTGTCTGCCACGCGATACGCCAACGATTTTTTCTTTTCCTTTCGAAAAGTACTACGTGAAAAGAAAGATTTCTCGAAATAAATGCTGCGCAGTTGTTACGCGATGAACTCAGTAATAATGAATTTCGCCGGACAAACAAGTCAAGTCCTCTCGCAGAGAAAAATTCTGGTGAATAGTGACTGATAAAGGGCAATGACTGGCAAAAAAGACTATAAATCAAGCTCCGAAAGAAAAAAAACATTTCTTGCAAACTCACTCGATCGAAGAGACACATTTCACACCGAAAAATCCTCTCTCTCGCGGACCATTAGTTAAAAGGGGAAAAAAACGCAAAGGTTTCTTTTGTTACGTATCCTTCGAAAGGATACAGATTACCGGCTTTCATTCATTGCACGCGTAGTACGCACTCGATAGCGCGAGAGTATTTCATTTTTCATAGCAGGTGTCTACGATGAAAAATACGCCTCGCACGAGAAAATTCGATCTGGAGTTCATTGACAAATGAAAAATACTCTAAAATTCGTGACAGTTTTTTCTTCGATACGTGAAAATCAATAAGATGCGCCAGAGGCCACTAAGTTATAGCTCGTTCAATCGAATGCTCGTGCCTTGAAAAACAAGAAAAACCCAGAGGGAAGATCGTGTTAGTACAGAAACGCGCGCGCACACGTCGCCTCGATTTTCTCTAAGAAATGTCGCCGCGTTAATGGACGCTTCTTTGAAAAACTGATGCGCTTGAAAGATCCTAGAGACGGTTTGCTACACATTTCACGAACTCAACGAAGGCGAACGTGAGCTCCTATTTCTTTATTTTATCTTTCTACTGGCCAAAGTTCACCGGATTATACTTCCGGGACTTTGGCTTTGTTGCAAATCATTGTTTTTCATGATGTAACTCGTTCGTAATATTTGATGAAGGTTGAACTTGTAAAACATGAAGTCGTGTACCGTCGGAACAGTAGCAGCATCACGTCAGAAGCGAGCAGCTGGGGACAAATTTTATTTACCTCTCTGGTCGTTTCGTTATTACTTATTAATATTTAATAACAGTCCCTACAGTTGACGATAATCGAAAAATATCGTCATTTTACTGGATATAAATGAAATATTACACAACTTTCCCCGTTAAAATATCCATCATCGTGATATCGAATGACTTTTGACCAAACTTCACCGTTTCTGTTTTAGGTCTCGCAACCGAAGGCATCATCGTTATCATCACGATTCTAAAAGGTAAAGTTAGCTTATAAACTGTTGGGTTCGAATGTCCCAGGTGTACCTGCACGATTTGTGATCGCGCGGGCGAAAAAGCCCAAGCAAGGACTGGGGGGAAATTAATTTTATCTATGCGCGAGACGTATGCGAAAAGTATAATGCGGCGCTGAGAGGAATAGCGAAAATAGAGAAAAATAGCGAAAGGTAAATGTATGAGAGTGTTTTTCTTTTTTCTATTTGAGTGGCCCAGTTTTCTCGCTGCTAAAGAAAAACGATGAGCCGAATGGAAATACCTTTACCACCGAGACCGAGTAATAGGCATGAGTGATATATTGACGTGTATTTAATTTTGGAGGCTTTTGCCAAGTGTAAATAACGCCCGCTGGCTCGTGCGCGGTGTTCTTCATTATGACCTACTTTGTAAATAAAGAGCAATTAATTGAGACTTAATAACGGAATATGTCGGAGCTTTCACACCGCATAGAAGTACGACGCTGTAAATACCAACACCGACTCGAAAAACAAAACAAAAAGAAAGAAAAGGTATGCGACAACAATTCAAAGTGAAAAACCCTGCCTGGCCTTTTTTCCTCTCAATACCGCGCGAAACCATTCGTCCACCCTTTCTTCAAAAAAGCCAGCTCCCAAGCCCGCAACCAGAAGAATAGAAAGTCAAGCCGTAACAGAGCCGCTGAAGAATCTAAGAAGCGGATAAAGCGCCGGAAAATTTATGAAGCTCAAGAAAATCGATGGTTGCCTCGGCGCTAGATATCGCTAATTACCCGAGAGCGAGAAAGCGAAAAGTGCTAGAGAAATCGCAAGGTCAAGGCGTTCACACTTGCATCTCTCGCGAAGAAGAGTTGCATTAATCATTCGCGATAAAAGAGACGATTAGCCATCGCGAAAAGAAGCCACACAGCCGCGCGTGAGCATGGATTTTCACGGATAATCGATTTTCTTTTCGGCGGTTTACGATGCTGAATTTCATGTCCAGTGGTCATACAGGTCGAAGTCGGATTATCCGCAACATATGTGCTCGTATGTCGGTGGGAATTTCAGATGGGTCGCTTCATTTTTCACCGATGTGAATCACAATCTTTTTCTTCGACGTCAAGCTCACGCTGCCCACGTAGAAACGCATTAGTTGCTCGTTTCACATTTAGCAACGCGGGGAAGTCGCCATCCGTAAACTTGATTTCTGTGAGCTTTACCAGCTGATTAAAATCCGATCAAAATATATTCCATCGTAAAAGAAAAAAAAATTAGGTTATCCACAATATTCGCATAAATCCGAAATTTCATAAAGCCGATGTACATAGCCGCGGCTCTGATGAAAATTTAACTAGGAGGAATTCCAATATGCGATCGACCGAGTATATGCTATCACCACAATTCTCTATAATTTGCACGTTGGTCGGCTATTTCGCCGCTTGTATAAAATTCACCGCCAAGCAACTTTGAACATTCCGCTCGTTGCTTTTCTCGACTTTCCAAAAACAGGATGCCTTACCATCCGTCAATATACATGCAACGTGATTGGCATATAAGCGCTCGATCGAGCGCCAAACTTCGGTAAAGGATAATTGGTCTCGTGCCCTGTGCTGGCGCGAGACAAGAAGTTACGATGGTATATGTAGAAGTGAAGGCATTGTCTGGGGTATGGGGTAATCAAAATCGAATTAATCGGCGCGGTTGACTTTGATACTTAACCGGCGTAACAACTTGGCCCTCGTGAGAGATTCAAATTAGATCGACTTGCTGTTACATCGATTTTCGCATCTTCTCCCCCCTCCCCCTCTCGGCGAATTGATTCGGAGCAATCGTGCACAAGACGTCAACTCGAACTTCACCCTCGACAACTTTGCCGATTGACTTCGCGAGTGAGCAGCGCGAAAACAATCGACCCAAGTCGAACAATCGAACTCTCTATCGCGTCTTATCGTCATCATCGGAGCTCCTTTGCGAACGAAACAAAACATCCGTGGAAAGCGTCGATGAATTTCAACTTTTACACTCTATTTCTCTGCCTCGTGGATGCATAAAACATGTGCTGCCGAGGATCAGCCGAGCAGCAAACTTCATTTTCATCGTCGCCGTCGGAGCAGCTGCTACTCCTCTCAAATATTAAGATCGACAGCTTAAAGCGACGTATAACCACCCCACCAAGAACATCGATCGACGCAGGTATTAGCTGCACATATGCCTCTCGTACGATTTGTGTGCCCCATGCAGATAGAACCTATGCGAGCATTGGCTTCATTTTCTTTTCTATCGGCCGCCGTGTATTGAAAAGCAAAATTGAATGATCGTTGAAAGAGCATGAGAATTTCCCGCGAGCTAAAAGTTTCCCCATTACGAAAGCTCCCTCGAAGGCGCACCCGTCCGTGAATTTTCGAGCAGCGTGTTCTTCTGCCGTTACCGCGCGCGCAAAAAAAATCCACTCGGTGCGTAATCGACGTTTTATCAGGATCCCGGAAGCAACTGCAAGATAAGAGGAAGAGGGAAACCCCTTTCAAAGCAAATATCTCGCATCAAAAGCACTACACTTCGGTCTGCGGAGTACTATTTAATCAGACTTGATATCGATAGCGCGGTGCGGTCTATTCAGCGTTTCTTCCCGGGCGCATCAAACGGAATCGCGTACCGCGCGCCACGTACGTACAGCGCCCATTATCGTTATCATTATTAACGAGGCAGAGCGAGCAGCTGGGAGCGGTCAAGCGGATCTTGTAGATTTGCCCGGAAACGGACAACCCGGAGCTCCGTCGTCGACGCGACGCGGATGTTGGGAGGCGTGCAACGTCGTCCTGGCGTATCGTCTCAAATCCACGCGCTCGAATTTCGCTTCTTATCCGCGCACCGCCGGACGCAGACTTGACCATACTCGCACTATCGAATTGGCGCATCGTTTGCGTTTCGCGCGTAATCAAATGGGAAGCGGCGCGGACGACGGGGCATCAATCTAGATTGAACTCGATACGGAGCGTAGGCGGCGAGAGAGGAAAAAGTCGCGCCGAAAATCAGCTCGGCATACGGGCCGAGAGACGAAAGACACGTGGCGCGCAAAGGCCGGCACGCGAGGACATTGACAGATAGTCTTAGCGAAACGAGGTCCGCGCCTATATACGCTAAAATCACGGGCTAATGCGGATTTACGAGGCTATGCGCACGCATGCGCGCTTGCCTCTTATCGGATGCGTTAATTTTCGGGGTCCCAAGGCAAAGACAGGGAAAGGAAATGGAACCTTTCAATTCAGATAAATTACCGATGATGCTCGAAATGGAGTTCTTTTTTCTCCCTTTTTCTCGCAGAGTGGAAACTCTCCTCGCTCTTTCTCTTGTTTTTTTAGCTTTTGCTATTTTTAGACGCGAACGTCGAATGGAAAACTTACTTCCACATATACGTATATCGGATTCCGCTGGTGTGTGCGCGCTGATTTGGTAGGATTATATTTTTGAAAGTGATAAATAAGCAGATAAGCCACTGCTCCGAATACAGCTCGGCAGAGACAATAAGCAGTTGCAGTCGCCGACGAAAGATAAGGGGATCAAACGCACACAGCGGTGACACGACGACATTCGAACCAAATGCAACTTAGTCCAGTGTCCTTGCTCAAGTAGAAAAAGACGTGTTTGGTCGGTCTTCGCGCTGTTTATGGAAAGCAGAAAAGGTTTAAACTGTCAATCGATAGCCAGTAATAATCACGGTCGCTTTGATGTAATGTCCGCCCGGGCACTCGACGTTCGGAATCCCTTGTTTATTTAAGCGGGCGCGAGGATCAAACTCACTAACGTTTTATTGCCGCTTTATTTGATCGATGCGGCCGGCAGAGATTTTATGTGATGATTGAAAAAAAAAGTCGTTTTACGCCAAAAACGGGAGATCTATCGACGTGGAGGACAAATTGTTCGTTGTTAAGTCGATCGGCTGACGGAATTGACTTTGCATTAATGTCTGGAATAATATTTTTTTACGGTTTATTGATATACTTATATACATATATAGAAAGACATTATTATTATTTTTTTTTGACAGCGTGAGAGGAAAACATACGCCGAGTGTCCGTTACCAGTGGATCATGAACAATTACGGACTCGATTTGATCGTCATATGACTCGCAAAAAGCATTCCGTAATACAAGAACGAATCGATCGCGAGTGGTTCAATTAATCGGCGATCATGCGGCTATGGCGTATGCGTATCAATGATAGATTTATCGTCGGCGGTCGTTGAAATCGCGCGCAATAACAAAACGTACGTCAACGATCGTCCTCTGGCGAAACATTGTTCCGAACACACAATAGGCTAATTGAAAAGGACAGTCGATTGGCTTAGGAATCCCGGAGCGGCCTTAATATGAGTTTTCTCGACGGGCGTTTGCCTTGTGCCGACGACGGACGAGCAACGAATCTAATGCTGCCGCCCATAGGCGAGAGAGATAGAGGCGAGAGCTCGATTACACGTCCACTTGAGGGCCGCGATCAATCGGACGCTCTGTTTGGTTCGATTCGCCGACTGCGCGGCAGCGGCTATTTACCCGCGTAAACGTGAAATTCTGGTACGGTCGGGCAGCTTTCTCGCCTTTGCGTACCTAATGCTACTGCTGAGCCCGGATGGTATATCGATCCGTTGTCGTTTCGTTTGCCGGGCGAGTGGCTTTTTTTCCCTTCTTTTGGTTTTGCCGCGACCGCGAGTGGGATGATCGCGCGTTTGACTCAAGCGATCCTTGGGAAAAAGGTCAAGCGAGCGTTGTCGGGGGTATCCCTCCGCAAACTTTCCGGCGGCGTCTCTACGAAGGCACTCCGGCGTGTAATTCCATCGTGGCGCGAGCATTCTTGTAAAATGAAGACGAGCGCAATAAAGCAGGAGCGCAGCTGGCTCGCACGGTCGAGAGGTATGTAGCGGTCGTCATATGAAACTCGAATCAATCGAGGTCTATTTGGCCTGGCTGTAGAAAGAAGAAGAATCCCGTGACGACGACAATGTGCGCGGCTGCAATTGATCATCAGCTACGTAG